CGTGCCCAGGACGGCCTGCCGTGGCGTGCCCAGGACCACCCGCCATCCGCACGCGCCCAGGACGGCCTGCCGTGGCGTGCCCAGGACCTGCGCTCACCAGTAGTTCCTATGGCCCACGCAGTTGTTGAGCCACTTGCAGTGGTGGTCAAAGCCAGAGACACACTTGTTGCAAGAGCTGCAATGCTTGGCCTTCTCGCTCCTGCAGGAAGAGGGGATGATCCCTCAGCCCCCCACATCCACATGGCTGAGCACAGTGGAGCCCAGTCCCTTCTTGGGAACCAGACAGGCTCCAGGAGTGGCCCTCGGGGTTGGAGAGTGGGTGTCTGGCAGAGAGTAGAAAGCTGGAGGTGCCAGTCGGGTGCTGGAGGCCGGGGAGGACAGAGTTGGCACAGCCAGGCAGCTGTGGCTGCAGAGCAGGGGGCCCTGGCCTTCTGGGCCAGCGTCAGTGCTGGGCGAGGCCAGGAGGAAGCTTGGACCCCACTCTAACAGCCACCCCGGACGTCCCAGGGCCACAAAGCCCTGCAAACCTGTGGAGGGCCAAGGACCGGACTGTCATGTCGGCAGCTGCTGCTTACCTGCGGCAGCACCAGGCGCCAGCTTGGACAGACATGGCCCTCAGAGCTGGCGCTGCCAGCCTCACCCGGCCGCCAGAGGGCCTGGCTGCATTAAGTGCCCGGGGCTGGCACTGCGAGGTGCACCGGGGGCCATGGCAGGGCGCCCACACAGGGATGGCACGCAGGCGGCGGGGTGCCCACACGGGACGGCACGCGGGCGGCAGGGCACTGACACAGGCACGGCACACAGGCAGTGGGGCGCCCACACAGGGACGGCACGCAGGCGGCGGGGCGCCCACACTGGGACAGCATGCAGGCGGCGGGGCACCCGCACGGGGATGGCACACAGGCAGCGGGGCGCCAACACGGGACGGCACACGGGCGGCAGGGCACTCACACAGGGACGGCACACAGGTGGCAGTACTGGTTCTGGATCACGTGCGTGTGTTTGGACCGGTCGAAGGTGGGCACGGGCTCCAGGTAGCTCTTCTTCAGCCTGACGTTGGGCTCGGCGGGGTCGATGGAGACCGCAGTCAAGTGGACCACAAGGTGGAAGGCGAACAGCCCACCAATCACCTGGAAGGGCAGTTAAGGATGACACGGCCTGGTTGGGGGCGCAGCACAGGGTCCAGAGTGGCCGCTGGCACTGCCACCATGGCTGGGTCAGGGGTCATCACTGTCTCTGAGCAACAGGCCAAGAGCAGTCCGCCACGGGAACGGTGCAGCCATATGCCTGGTGTGCGAGGTCTTGGCCCAGGGCACAGCCCTCGCCGTGGGCCGGCACAGGACGCCTCCCGGGCGCCGGGCCACCCTAGTGGGCGTCTCAGAACCCTTTCCAGCAGCAGAGGTGTGGCAAGTGTGGAGAGAGGGGAACGTGTCCCTGAGAGACCAGGACCACCCCTGCCAACCGCGCACATGCGCCCAGGACCACCCCTGCCAACTGCGCACATGCGCCCAGGACCACCCCTGCCAACGGCGCACATGCGCCCGGGACCACCCCAACTGCACACCCAGCACCCCACGCCATGGTGTCCTAGAGCCAGGAGGAGGATGCTCACCTCCAGGGCTTGGACACGGCCCAGCCCTCAGCCCCAGCCTCCCACTTCCTCTGCCCTGGGACCAACATGCTATCACCATGGAGACCAAGCAGAGGGGGTGGAGCCACAGACCGCCCCACCTGCCCAGCCCCACGCCCCCAGCCCTGCCCCTCCTGCCCTGGGCTCACCTTGACCAGGAGGGCCCTGGGCTTGGCAGACACACGCTGCCCCTGCAGGACGCCCCTCTTCTGGGCCCAGGAAGGCCACAGAGCCTGCTGGCTGCCGAGACCCCCCAATGTGATCTCAGCAGATGGCCAACATCCGCGTGGGGGGGCTCTGGCCAGTCCTTCTCTGGGGCCCATCTCAGGCTCGACCGTGGCCAGCAGCACCGGCCACCTGGGGCTCTGCGCTGGTGTCTGTGTCTGGCCCTGCCCTGGCCAGGCCTCACGAAGAGCATGCCTGAGAGTGGGGCAGGCCACGGTGTCTGTTTCCCAACCACACGGCTGCAGGGTCGGGGGACAGGCATGGGTCAGAGCTGGACTGAGGCTCGGGGCAGCAGGGATGGGGGGAGGGTGTGTGGCAGCGAAGCGGTACCAGGAGCTCGGGGTGGGAGCACAGCCAGGAGGAGCAGCAGAGGGGCTGGGGACAGGTCAGACCCTTCCACTGCCATGGGAGGGGCACAGGAACAGACTCTGAGGCCCTCCCACTCAACCCACAGGGCGCTCCCTCACAGGTCCTGCTGTTTTTGTGGTCACCAGGGCAACAGGCACAGGCCCGGGCCCTTAGACCTGGCCCGGGACAGCCGAGCACGTGTCTGGGCAGGAGTCAGCTGTGCCTTTCCCTCTGCAGAGCTGGGAGAGCCCTCGGGGGAGCCTGGCAGGCGGATGGGTGGCAGCCAGGGGGCAGGGCGGTCGGGCCTCCATGCAGCAGCGGCCATGCTGAGGTTGAGTCCAGCCCTCTGCCCTGTCCCAATGCACTGCACAGCCCTGCCAGAGTGGCCACGCCAGCACTGACCACTCACAGGACCCCCACCAGGGAGACAGCCGGGACCTCTGGGTCCCGGAGCAGAGGGAAGATTGGCCCGTCCTCGGGACAGGCTGCAAATGGAGGCCCCCAGAACCTGCCGGACAAACCCTACAAGCTGCCTGGGCCCGTTTCCTGAGCTGACCCTGAGCCGCAGGTTCCTGGCCAGGTGGCCACCCTGGAAGCGTCCACCACTGGGAAGAAAGGGCATCCCAACTCCCAGGCAGTGTGCACCTAGACTCTTCGGGGACATGGGGACACCTCAGCAGGGCCAAGTTCGAGAGCACCCGCCGCGACAATCTGGCAGACATGCCTGGCACCGACGGTGCGCCTCCTCAGTGGCACCCACATCACCTAGGGCGTTCTCACATGCTCCGAGGTCGCAGCCCTGCCCCTGAGGTCGGCCTGCACCAGGCTCTCCTGCCCTCGCCCTGGGCCTCATCCCGAGGGGCCTGGCTCACACAAGCGTGTCTCGGCTCCCCCACAGCCGCTGGCCCAGGGAGGTTGGGCCGGAGTGGTGTTCTCAGAACATGCTGGAACACCCTTAGCAACAAGCAGTGTTTGGTAAATAACCAGGGACAGCCCTGGCGCTCCCCACCGCTGACCTTTACCCTGTCCTTTGTGTGGGCAGGAAGAGGGGGAGCACCCCAGCCAGCGCCTCGCCCTGGGGGCAGGTTCTCGGGCTGAGCCTGGAAGGCTTGAGCGGCCCGGGCGCTGGCAGGTGGCCTCGCTGGCGAGCTCCAGCTCCGACCGTCTCTGCCACGGTGGCCC